ACGGTCGCAGTTAAGGAGTACAATATACCCCGTCTTTAACAGCTTACAGAAACCTCTCATTATGTAATAATTTGTTCACTTGCAAGTTGAGTGCTTGTGAAATGGCAGTGTTGCACTCTTCACGGACCTTAAAGTATTGATAGTGACCAACATTACTGTTAAGGGTAAATTTTACCCCTTGGGATTGCTAACCTTCGCATTGCTTCATTGCAAGCCGTTCCCGCCCCGTTGTCTGTCTGTTGATAGCTGTGCACTGTCACAATTATATCGCCTGCTTGTTGTATTGTCTCTTCTTGCTCCTCTTCCTCTCCTCCTCTTCCCTCTTCCTCCTCCTCCTCCTCTTCCACCAGGTAAAGCAAGGAGTTCCGTGTCGAATTGCAAGCAGACACGGCAAAAGTTTTTCTGGTGGCGCCAACTCTGTAATTATGGCACGAAGCTCGCTGGCCAGCGCTCGCTACCTCCTCCTTCAGTACATATATTGAGTCCACCGATGGCTTCTAATTTTTAGCTTGGCGCAGTTGCAATTTACGTTGTTGTTGCTGTTGTTGCTGGTGTAAAAGTGCACATGGAGGTTTGTAGCGAGGCGTGGGGCTCAAACCTTAGCAAGTACACAGTAATGTTTTCTCGGTTAAAAAGATATGATTAATATAACTAAAATGCGCGCACACACACACACACACACACACACACACACACACACACACACACACACACACACACACACACACACACGCACGCACACGCACACGCACACACACACACACACACACACACAGTGTGCACGTGTGAGTTGAGTGAGTGCAGTACGTGGTCAGAAGATCGATATTTAATATTATTACAGAAGAATAATGGACCATGAATATTGTCCTCTGTTTCACCATTTTGCTTCCTTAAAACCTTATTCTTATTCGCTGCGCTTCATTGGTCCTCCAGTGTACGACCGTTTGAACTCGTGGCCGCGTGTTCTCATTGGCTGTTGACTTGCGTGTGCTGTGATTGGACGATGACGGGAGGGTGCCCGGATTCGCTTCAGTATATGAACATTATGATTAGGTACTGGTGAAAGACGCGACCCGTAATCATTTCTACAGTGAAGGTGCCCCAAATCTGGCTGTGGTAGTGAGGGGGGGGGGCCTCTGCCTTGACAACGGTGAAGGGGGGGGGGGGGCTCTGCCTTGACAACGGTGAAGGGGAGGCCTCTGCCTTGACAACGGTGAAGGGGGGCCCTCTGCCTTGACAACGGTGAAGGGGAGGGGCCTCTGCCTTGACAACGGTGAAGGGGAGGGGCCTCTGCCTTGACAACGGTGAAGGGGAGGCCTCTGCCTTGACAACGGTGAAGGGGGGGCTCTGTCTTGACAACGGTGAAGGGGAGGCCTCTGCCTTGACAACGGTGAAGGGGGGCCTCTGCCTTGACAACGGTGAAGGGGAGGCCTCTGCCTTGACAGCGGTAAAGGGGGGGGCCTCTGTCTTGACAACGGTGAAGGGGGGCCTCTGCCTTGACAACGGTGAAGGGGGGCCTCTGCCATGACAACGGTGAAGGGGGGGCCTCTGTCTTGACAACGGTGAAGGGGGGGCCTCTGCCTTGACAACGGTGAAGGGGGAGGGCCTCTGCCTTGACAACGGTGAAGGGGGGGCCTCTGTCTTGACAACGGTGAAGGGGGGCCTCTGCCTTGACAACGGTGAAGGGGGGCCTCTGCCTTGACAACAGTGAAGGGGGGCCTCTGCCTTGGGAAGGGGGGGGGGGACCTCTGCCTTGACAACGGTGAAGGGGAGGGGCCTCTGCCTTGACAACGGTGAAGGGGGGGGCCTCTGCCTTGACAACGGTGAAGGGGGGGGGCTCTGCCTTGACAACGGTGTTAGGGGGCCTCTGCCTTGACCACGTCAAGCAGGGCCCTCTACCTAGTCACCAGGTGTTGAGTGCGGCCCCCTTAGATACTCAGGTCTCCTAGTCATCAGGAGCCAGATTCATGAAGCAGTTACGCAAGCACTTACGAACGTGTACATCTTTCCTCAATCTTTGACAGCTTTGGTTACATTTATTAAACAGTTTACAAGCATGAAAACTTCCCAATCAACTGTTGTTATTGTTATAAACAGTTTCCTGGTGCTTCGGAGCTCGTTAACTGTTCTTGGTTGGGATGTATGTTCGCTTTATTCTGATAGTTCGGTATGTGTGTGTTTGTGCCGGAGAGTGATGCTGGCTTATGCACACACAAACACTGTTTATACAAGCACCAACACTGGTGACACACGCACCAACACTGGTGACACACGCACCAACACTGGTGACACACGCACCAACACTGGTGACACACGCACCAACACTGGTGACACACGTACCAACACTGGTGACACACGCACCAACACTGGTGACACACGCACCAACACTGGTGACACACGCACCAACACTGGTGACACACGCACCAACACTGGTGACACACGTACCAACACTGACACACGCACCAACACTGACACACGCACCAACACTGGTGACACACGCACCAACACTGACACGCACCAACACTGGTGACACAAGCACCAACACTGGTGACACACGCACCAACACTGGTGACACACGCACCAACACTGACACACACACCAACACTGGTGACACACGCACCACTGGTGACACACGCACCAACTATGGTGACACACGCACCAACACTGGTGACACACGCACCAACACTGGTGACACACGTACCAACACTGGTGACACACGCACCAACACTGGTGACACACGTACCAACACTGGTGACACACGCACCAACACTGGTGACACACGTACCAACACTGGTGACACACGCACCAACACTGGTGACACGTACCAACACTGGTGACACACGCACCAACACTGGTGACACACGTACCAACACTGGTGACACACGCACCAACACTGACACACGCACCAACACTGGTGACACACGCACCAACACTGACACACGCACCAACACTGACACACGCACCAACACTGGTGACACACGCACCAACACTGACACACACTCCAACACTGATGACACACACACCAACACTGACACACTCCAACACTGATGACACACACACCAACACTGATGACACACACACTCCAACACTGATGACACACACACCAACACTGACACACACCAACACTGATGACACACACACCAACACTGATGACACACACACCAACACTGATGACACACGCACCAACACTGACACACGCACCAACACTGACACACGCACCAACACTGACACACGCACCAACACTGACACACGCACCAACACTGACACACGCACCAACACTGACTACTCAGACACTAACATGGACGACACGGGCTGCGTGAGGCCCGAGAGAATCAAAACACGTGCAGGGCGGAGTGTTGCCACGTGCCAGAGTTCCGTGCCACGTGCTGCCACTCCTCACCAGGACGTGCAGGGCAGGGGGGGAGAGGGAAGGCTGGGAGGGGGGAGGGATGGAGGGTGGGATAGACAGGAAGTTGCAAATATGGTTGATATTCTGTCTATACACACACACACACACACACACACACACACACTCACTCACTCTCTCTCTCTCTCTCTCTCTCTCTCTCTCTCTCTCTCTCTCTCTCTCTCTCTCTCTCTCTCTCTCTCTCTCTCTCTCTCTCTCTCTCTCTCTCTCTCTCTCTCTCTCTCTGATAGTCATCTGTTTGTGAAAAACAGTAACAAATTACATAGATACCATTCACAATGGAGCGAAAGTGGAATGCTGCACGCGCGTGATGAGCCAGGTATTGTATGTGTTATTGTCAGTGTTTGTGTGTGTGTGGGAGGTGGGGGGGGGTCACATGTTTGTGTGTCTTGTTGGTGTATGAGAAGTTTGGAGGCGCAGGTGGATGTGGATATGGGGAGGGAGGTGGAGGAAGAGATGGATAAGGGGGAGGAGGAGGTGGATAAGAGGGAGGAGTAGGGCGTGGATAAAGGAGAGGAGGAGGAGGAGGAGGAGGAGGACAGAAGTGGAAGGAGAGAACAAATTAATAGACCTCAACCTCACAACTTAAGAGAGAGAGAAAGGTGAGAGAATATGATCAGTACATACAAGATACTGTAGGAAATACTAGACAAAGTGAACAACAGAGGAGGAAGAGCAGTGAGATCAAAGAAAAGGAAATCAGGAGAAGGAGGAGATGGGATAAACAGTAATGAAGGAGAGATGAGGACGGCGGGTTGAAACTCATTTAGTAGAGTTAAAGAGAAACGGACGATGGTTGAAGGAGAGTTGACGGAGGAGTCAGGGAGGGGGTACAGGGCGATGGGTGGTGGTGGGGTGTAGGGGGTGTTGTGGAGGGGGGTTGTTGGTGTTGTGGAGGGGGGCGGGGGTGACTTTACGAGCAGTAACAGGGACGTGTTGTGCCGGAGCCCCCAATTTAAAGGGTAATTATGTTCCATGGTATAAAAAAAATATGATGTGTTTTCTCTATATTCATATTCCGTAGGGTGTAGTGATGACTGCTGTGTGTGTGTGTGTGTGTGTGTGTGTGTGTGTGTGTGTGTGTGTGTGTGTGTGTGTGTGTGTGTGTGTGTGTGTGTGTGTGTGTGTGTGTGTGTGTGTGTGTGTGTGTGTGTGTGTGTGTGTGTGTGTGTGTGTGTGTGTGTGTGTGTGTGTGTGTGTGTGTGTGTGTGTGTGTGTGTGTGTGTGTGTGTGTTAACTGACGGCCATAAAGTACCAGACAGTAAAATAACACAGTCTGGAAGGCCTTGTCAAGTAGCCTGACTGCTGTTGACGATCCAAACTCCACCTTTACCTACACGCCCACACAACACGTATCCATAGCACGCTCACATAAGGAAAGGTGCTCCAGTGGATAAGGGAGGACCTAAGCGGCAGAAGACAAAGAGTCACAGTGAAGGAAGAGTTACCAGTGGCGAGGTGTTACCCACTCAGCCCCACGGGGTCAATTCTAGGGCCTGGCTTGTTTCTGGGCGAATGGTCTTTCAGAGGGAAGAATTAAACTGCCATTGTTTGCTGGTGTCGTATAATTATGATGTGGGTAAATACGGTGGAAGAAGGTAAGAGACTAACAGTCCTTACCCTACACCAACACCTCAAAGAGACTAACAGTCCTTACCCTACACCAATACCTCAAAGAGACTAACAGTCCTTACCCTACACCAATACCTCAAAGAGACTAACAGTCCTCACCCCACACCACACACCACACGCTTACAATCCTCACCCCACACCACACACCCCACGCTTACAATCCGCACCCCACACACCCCACGCTTACAATCCTCACCCCACACCACACACCCCACGCTTACAATCCTCACCCCACACCACACACCCCACGCTTACAATCCTCACCCCACACACCACACACCTCACGCTTACAATCCTCACCCCACACCACACACCCCACGCTTACAATCCTCACCCCACACACCACACACCTCACGCTTACAATCCTCACCCCACACACCACACAACCCACGCTTACAATCCTCACCCCACACACCACACACCTCACGCTTACAATCCTCACCCCACACACCACACACCTCACGTCTTGACGCGCACAATCCATATTTTATTTCAATTATCATTTATTAATCCCATAAATACAATTATACGTATACGAAAATCTTAAAATTAATAACGTGTGCAATTTCTTTCATACGAAATCGTGGACAGTTTTCTGATAATGTTTTGGGTCAAATTCGTTACATAATTGTTTTTATTATCATACTCAAGTACATAGTCCTATATGCAGCTACCCTATTCTATATGAAGGGTTACATAGTAATGCTCTAATTATCTCCATCTTGCAGTGTTAATTGCAAAGCTGCAGGTGCCTCATACTGGCGGGTCTGAAGGGTATAATGACTGGACACTCAATAATGTAGTGTGTGTAAGATCGTGGCCCAGTTCCGGCTCACAGAGTTTGCACCTGGAGTGCTCGGGATTGGGAGAGCCGTCACCTGCCACAGGTAACGGTAGCCACCTGCCACAGGTAACGGTAGCCACCTGCCACAGGTAACGGTAGCCACCTGCCACAGGTAACGGTAGCCACCTGCCACAGGTAACGGTAGCCACCTGCCACAGGTAACGGTAGCCACCTGCCACAGGTAACGGTAGCCACCTGCCACAGGTAACGGTAACCACCTGCTACAGGTAACGGTAACCCAACCTGATCCTGGCAACCACTGTGTCGCACAGTCTGGTCCACGTTTTGTGCTGCCCATAAACATAGGTTTCAGGTCTGAACAAATCACAGCTTTTTATACATGTGCTTTCAGGTCGTTGAGAATCAGTAATTTCTCTCCTATCAGACATAACTGTTTGGACCAATATAGATTTGACAGTAGAGATGAGGATACCTAGATCTAATTCAACTTCATCTCTGTTACACACTAATTTGGCTGCAATGTCTGTCTCATTATGATGGGTTATATTTATGTGTGAAGGTATCCATACAAAGGAGATTCGAGACCCTTTGCTCTGTGCAGCGATTAGGTCATTTATAATTGGTAGTATGAGGTTCTTGCGATTTTTTTTTTTTTTTTATTAAGTTATGAGGTACATCTGCATTAGTGCAGCTACCCTAGACTATATGAAGTGGAGTACAGTGTGTCAAAAAAAAAACTAACTAGGTGATGCTATAAAATCCCCATCACACAGGATGGTTAGTCATACAGAGACATGTGATAGGCGTCTGCACTGGCAGACTCCGGATGCATTTTGAGGATATCAACAACACAAGATTGAATAAGGTAGCAGTGGTAATACAAGTCCCCATCTCGCAGGATGGTTAGTCATACAGGGCCATGTGTTTAATAGCCTGCACTGGCAAATTTTGGGTATACTGTGAGGATATCTTCAAGAATACGAGAGTGAATAAAGTAATTGCAAAGCTCCAGGTACCTCATGCCAACTGGTCTGAAAGGTCTAATAACTGGGCATTCAGTGATGTAGTGCGGGAGATCATGCCGTAGTTCCTGCTCACAGAGTTTGCAACTGGAGTGCTCAGGATTGGGAGACCCGTCACCTGCAGCCACCTGCCACAGGTAACGGTAACCCAACCTGATCCTTGCAACCACTGTGTCGCACAGTCTAGTGGACGTTTTGTGCTGTCCATAGATGTAGGTTTCAGATCTGAACAAATCATAGCTTTTTATACTAGTACTTTCAGGTCGTTGGGAGTCAGTAAGTTCTTTCCTATCAGATCTGAATGTTTGGACCAATACAGTTTTGACAGCAGAGATGAGGATACCTAGATCTAATTCAACTTCATCTCTGTTACACACTAATTTGGCTGCAATGTCTGTCTCATTATGATGGGTTATATTTATGTGTGAAGGTATCCATACAAAGGAGATTCGAGACCCTTTGCTCTGTGCAGCGATTAGGTCATTTATAATTGGTAGTATGAGGTTCTTGCGAAACCCTTTACTGTCATTAATAAATCTACGGTAACATTGTGCTTAGTTTCACTACGACAAATGAGCTATTTTTTGTGTTATTCAATATTTTATATTGTATTTTTTGTTATCTTGTTTATCCTGTAACTGCGTGTGTCCACGCTGTTACAGGATAAACAGTGTCCACAGACAAGAAGTTAATCAAAGGAGACCTGATCACGGCATACAAGGTTATCATGAATGTAGAAAAAGGGAGTTAGAACGACAGTTCAGTGCTGGTAGAAAGAGGGCCAGAGTTCGTTGCGCCAGATAACTGATATCAAAAAGTCTGAGAAGAGAGCTTAAGGTTATTCCAAATACATATTGGTACACACACACACACACACACACACACACACACACACACACACACACACACACACACACACACACACACGCACGCACGCACGCATAAGACCCATGGCTTCACCTCACGTCCATAGTCCTTACCTTAATCTCACAACTGAAAGAAGAGGTTGTGAAGGCCACCTCCATTCACAACTTTAAGGCTAGCTTAAACAAAGAAATAGAGGGACAGAAAATATAAATTATAATGCAACGGATACACCAAGGCAGGGCATCAAGAGCTATACCCTGATAGGCACGTACTCCCATCTACACACACACACACACGTACTCAGGAATCTGTACACCAGTCGATTGACAGTTGAGAGGCAGGGCCAAAGAGCCGAAGTTCAACCCCCGCAAGCACAACCAGGCGAGTTGTTCGCAGATGCAGAACTAATTTAATATAAATAGAGAACAGCGGGGACGTAGTAATTAGCGCCCTCACTGCACCTTCAATTTCGAGTTGGCACCAGTTAGTAATACTTAGATCGACCCAAACAATGTGACTGCAAGAAACGATCCACTACGGGCTCACCTTAGTGCTACCTGGAACTTATAATCCGAGTAGCTGAATCTAAAACCACAACAGCAATGCAGGCGATGAGTCACAATAACGTGGCTGAAGTATGTTGACCAATCCACATATTAGAAAATGAAGGGACGACGACGTTTCGGTCCGTCCTGGACCATTCTCGACTTGAGAATGTTCCAGGACGGACCGAAACGTTGTCGTCTCTTCATTTACTAGTGTGTGTGGATTGGTCAACATAACAGCAATGTCACCCGTCACCACCGTAGAAGCTACGATGGTGACGGGGAGGGTAATGTGCGATACGGGTAGAGAGATGGGTGGACGCGGCGGAGAGGAGGGAGCGGGGATGGGGGGGACATTACTGGTCCCTGCATGTTTAACACTGCTCGCTGCAAGTATTCATCCCCGCTGGCTGCAAATGGAGTCTGCCGCATCGCTCAGTGCCGGCTCCGGATGCTGCACACGCTGCCGGATGTCCAGTGTCCGGTTGTAGTGTCCGGCTCCCGCTATAAGCCCAAAACCTGCCCGCTTTTTCACAGACACTATTGGCACCGTTGACGCTACCGACTCCAACGGCGTCGTTGACGCTACCGACTCCAGCGGCGTCGTTGACGCTACCGACTCCAGCGGCGTCGTTGACGCTACCGACTCCAGCGGCGTCGTTGACGCTACCGACTCCAGCGGCGTCGTTGACGCTACCGACTCCAGCGGCACCGTTGACGCTACCGACTCCAGCGGCACCGTTGACGCTACCGACTCCAGCGGCACCGTTGACGCTACCGACTCCAGCGTCACCGTTGACGCTACCGACTCCAGTGGCGTCGTTGACGCTACCGACTCCAGCGTCACCGTTGAAGCTACCGACTCCAGCGTCACCGTTGACGCTACCGACTCCAGCGGCACCGTTGACGCTACCGACTCCAGCGGCACCGTTGACGCTACCGACTCCAGCGACGTCGTTGACGCTACCGACTCCAGCGGCACCGTTGACGCTACCGACTCCAGCGGCACCGTTGACGCTACCGACTCCAGCGTCACCGTTGAAGCTACCGACTCCAGCGTCACCGTTGACGCTACCGACTCCAGCGTCACCGTTGAAGCTACCGACTCCCAGCGTCACCGTTGACGCTACCGACTCCAGCGTCACCGTTGACGCTACCGACTCCAGCGGCACCGTTGACTCTACCGACTCCAGCGGCACCGTTGACGCTACCGACTCCAGCGGCACCGTTGAAGCTACCGACTCCAGCGTCACCGTTGACGCTACCGACTCCAGCGGCACCGTTGACGCTACCGACTCCAGCGGCGTCGTTGACGCTACCGACTCCAGCGGCGTCGTTGACGCTACCGACTCCAGCGGCGTTGTTGACGCTACCGACTCCAGCGTCACCGTTGACGCTACCGACTCCAGCGTCACCGTTGACGCTACCGACTCCAGCGTCACCGTTGACGCTACCGACTCCAGCGGCGTCGTTGACGCTACCGACTCCAGCGGCACCGTTGACGCTACCGACTCCAGCGGCACCGTTGACGCTACCGACTCCAGCGTCACCGTTGACGCTACCGACTCCAGCGACGTAGTTGACTGTGGGACTCTGTCAAGTTCACCACCCCGTGTGACAAGTTCACCAGGTGGTGAACTCTGGTGTGTTTACCCATGGTTGAGGGCCCATGATAACGTCAGTAGGATAACAGTAGTTATCTTAAGATAAAGAGAGGATCGCCAGAGGGGTAGATGTGAGTGGTTCAGTTATTGATCGCGTGGGGTGATTTATTTATCTATTGTGTTTGTTATTTTTGTATCCTCAGTTATTGCTGTGATTTATTGATCGTGTTAGGTGATTTGATTCGTTTTGTCGGGGACAGGATGCCTTTGTATATATATACTTTAGACTTGTATCGAGGCCCCCAAAAGTGGAACTACTGATCTTCCCAAAGATGAAACCCCCATAACAGTGATTCAACTCCCGGGTATTTATGTACTGCTGGGTGAACAGAGCCATCAGGTGAGAGGAAACGTTTTCAACCATTTCTCTCCCGGCCGGAGATCGATCCCAGGATCCCCGAGTGTGAGTGGAGAACGTATAGCGATTGTAGTTTATTTGTCGTGTCATGGTTGTGATTTGTTTGTGTTGTGATTTATTGGCCCTAATTTGTTGTGTCTGGTTGTTGGAGGCGAGTTACAACTCCCAGAGCTGTTAGGGACGGTTGATGGTCTCTTGGTGTTATGTTTACATGTCGTTCTTGATCTGTATAGTAATCGTTTGGTTACTAACCATCAACTGTGTTGGCAGTTGTGATTAATTATCAGTGTTGGGGTAACGAGGGTGTCTCCTGCCACCACCAGCTTGTTGGTAGCTGTGGGTCTCTTCCCATTTTGTGTTGGTAACGATGACGCTTATTCTATCGCTCGCTGAGGGCAACATTGCCTTTTCTAGTTTCTTATTTGTTTCTCTTTATCCTCGTATTCCCTTTACCTTCATTTTAGCCTATCCACATTTCTCTATCTATCTCGTTTTTTCTGTCTCCTCTCTCTCTCTCTCTCTCTCTCTCTCAATTTGTACTCTATCTTCTTTCTCGTTAACTCTATATTTCTCAATTTATCCGTTCTCTTTGTCTCTTCTTACTCTCTGTCTCTTTCCTCTAAATCTATCCCCCTCTCCGTCCTTCCCTCAACCTTTATCCTCTCTCCCTCTTCTCCTACTCACACACTCTCTGTCCCCTCCACATCGTTCTGTCCCCTAGGTTGAGAAATTCCCCGGAGACGCAGCTTTCAATCGTTCGAATCCATGCCTCGACTCTTCGCCCCGTCCCGAACCCCGCAATATACCATCCGAACACCGCAACAATAACGTATAAGTTATCCGAACACTTGCAGCATCCAGTGGTCTCCCACATCTGCATTTTCCTTTCTTTTACCCGCATCTCAATGTTTACATGCGCGCTCTGTGGCTTTCTAGACGTCTTTTGGACGGTAGGAGACGGGTTAAGATTGACGGAAGTTAGAAGGGTGTTCGGACGGAGAGATGGGGAGGAGAGTCCCACAGATACACAGGGGAGGATAACCCATAAGGGCTCCTAGCTCTTTTTCGCTGTCATAGTTGATTTTATGGTTTCTTTTGGTAAGGCTTCAAGCTGTTGGAGTTGACTCTTGGTGGATTGACGGTAAGTTGACAGGTGAGTGGATAGGTAGGTAAATAAGTAGGTAAGGTAGTAGGTAGGGAGTGGTGTAGGCAAATAGGCTGCCCTGCTTCCGTTCCTGTCTTATATATGGTGGTGTTTAGGATGGCACTTCAAGCTTGTTGACTGGTTCATTTGTTGAAGTGTTGACCAATTGTTTGATCAAGAGCCATGTTAATAGTTTGTCGTTGAAGTGGCTAATGGCTCGTTTACCCGAAACTACTTGGCACGCTGGGACGGAAACTGGAAGATAGTGATGTCACGGATAGGTCACATCACACGTGGGACAGGCCTCGCTCCCCCCCACCCCTCCTTCCTACCCTTCGCGTAAGTATGTATATTGAAAAAAAATGATGAAAAGATTTTTAAAACTGAGGAAACTTGAAAAAAATCTCGTATGTGATACCGTCTTTCCTGCGAGCTCCAGATTTAATCCTATTATAAGATATTTCCCTATTAGTTTTTGGTGGTGGTAAAGACCTGAGAGGGTTTGGTGGTGGTGGTGGTGGTAGAGGCTAGGACGGTGGTGGTGGTGGTGGTGGTAGAGGCTAGGACGGTGGTGGTGGTGGTGGTGGTAGAGGCTAGGACGGTGGTGGTGGTGGTGGTGGTAGAGGCTAGGACGGTGGTGGTGGTGGTGGTGGTGGTAGAGGCTAGGACGGTGGTGGTGGTGGTGGTGGTGGTAGAGGCTAGGACGGTGGTGGTGGTGGTGGTGGTGGTAGAGGCTAGGACGGTGGTGGTGGTGGTGGTGGTAGAGGCTAGGACGGTGGTGGTGGTGGTGGTGGTAGAGGCTAGGACGGTGGTGGTGGTGGTGGTGGTAGAGGCTAGGACGGTGGTGGTGGTGGCGACAACCTTAGCGCTAATACTGGCTTGTGGCTGATGATGGTCGTACTTCCTATTAAACCTTGTTAATTAAACAAAGTCGCATTGGTTTTTGGTAGCCAGTGGATGGTCGTATCACACAGGTCGTCTTGGCTGGCGGTGGCGCCATGATGGTCGCATCCGTCGTGTTTCCCATGTCCTGGTCAGTGGTCGTATCTTGGTGGTCGTGTTAAACAAGCAGCACAGGTTAGTGGTCGTACCCACTAAGTGGTCGTAGTGGTCCTGTTAGCCTTGGGGCATGAGCAAGGCTTTGGAGGTTGGGAATTATTTATAATAAACCTTTTGGCCACTTGGTAAGAGGAAACTGACAGGTTGAGATTGGAAGATAGACAGGTAGGTAGGTAGACGTGTAGATAGGTAGACGCGTAGATAAAAAGGTAACTATGTGAACGAATAAGTTGGTAGAGTGGTAGATAACTAGGGACAAGCACTTTTGCAGATAAATAGGCAACTAGACAAGAGGTAACAAAGTAATTAGACTAAGATTCGGTTGACAGGTAGATAATTAGATAGACGGGAATGTTGACTGACAAGTGAACGAATAAAAAACAGAAAGCTAGCTGGACGGGACGTTAACAGATAGGTACGTTGTCGGATAATTTGGTGGACAGATAAGTAGACAGGTAGACAGCTAATTAGGTAGGTAGTTTAAAATATAGGCTGACAGGTAGGGAGGAGAAGTAGGTTGGATGAATGGGTCGACGGCTGACTGAAGAATTGAGGACGTGGTGTAATAATTACAAATATATTATTGTTAAACAAGATTGTACTCCAGCTCTGGGGCCCCATCTTGTTGGATAATCGCATCTTCACTTGAAAGGTTAAAGTTGGTATCCACTTGCCCTGGCTAATGCCTCTTTCTCACCACTCTTGCACTGCTCTCATTCTCTCTTATTCTCTCTCTCTCTCTCTCTCTCTCTCTCTCTCTCTCTCTCTCTCTCTCTCTCTCTCTCTCTCTCTGAATGAAACCTATCACACACATATACGCGCTCAGTGAAGGGAAACGACTAGCCTGTAGAAACTAGTGGTATGAGCTGAGAGTTGAAATAGGATAACAATCCTATGATGTTATCCTATTTAGTACATATAGGATAACATCAGCTGCATGATCTACAGTGGCAAATCAGAACATCATTCAGAACCTAAATAGGGGGGTGCCCATTTAGATTTCTGTTCACTACGTACGCCAGACCAGTCTTGCTGCCTCATCACAGAACCAACATATCAAAAAATATTTATATATTTTTTTGTGATGGGGCTTTGCAACGAGACTAGTCCAGGAATTGCGAGGGACTTTGTATGAAGAAAGACATCACACACACACACACACACACACACACACACACACACACACACACACACACACACACACTCACTCACTCACTCACTCACTCACTCACTCACTCACTCACTCACACACACACGCACCCACGCACACACAATGTCACTATACTCGACTCTTGAGCTCATTCACAACCCTCATTTAAATATTTACCTAGCCTATTTCTTTTTTATCTACCTGGTATTTAATCATCTGATGGCCTCGTTACGAACTTCATTAACGTTGTTGCATATTTATTCCTGACATTATCAGTTAATACTGTGCAATTTTACGCTCTAATTCGGAAGTTTGTTAAAATATATTTTATATCTAATGACAAAAGAGACGGTTCTGTAATGTGGCATTTAGTTCACTGGACAACTAAGCTGATTTGATTCAACGAGTTGGGATGTGTGGTTGTTTAATGTTTGCATGTGGGGGTTGATTGTTGACGTGTGGATGGAGTTGTTTACAGGTGATTGTGGCTGATTGTTTACAAATGTGAAGCTGATTGATCACACGTGGAGCTAATTGTTCTTAGGTATGGGGGCTCCGCTTTGATTGTTAATCGGGGTGTTTTTTTTTGAACGTGTGGGTCTTTTTATATGTGAGGGGGAGGATAGGTGATTGTTTGCAGGTGTGTAATTTAGCTGTTTAGTCAATACATGTGTGGGTTGTGTGATGATTACAGGTGTGGCCAGGGTGCCTGTGGGTTTGGAGATGGTTTGAGACATTTGCTGGTGAATATATCCATTACAGGTCACTATAGGTTGATGCTAATAGTTTATATATATGAATATGTATATATATATATATATATATATAATATATATATATATATATATATATATATATATATATATATATATATATATATATATATATATATATATTCATGTGAGCTTTCCAGTGGTTTGTTGTGTCGAGGGGCAGACGTTGAACAGTCGGTGATTTGTTGTGTCGCCTTGTAAACGAGTCGTTTTGAGGTTGCGTTAAACTTTTTATTGGAATCTTTGTGTTTTGTTAAACATGACGTATTTTGGTTGAACAGGGCAGAAAAGCTTGTGATATCCTTCGTTGAATTCTTAACCATTCGTTTATTCATTTTTCGTTCAACTTTTGATCATTCGTTGAACGTTAAATCATCGAATTAATGATTTATTGTCAATAAATTTTGGACTCGTCGCTGCCATCTGGATCTTTTTATTGTTGAACACGCCGATGAACTTTTTCTTTTGCCTCTCGTTGAACGCTAGACCATCCAC